AGGAGGAACTTAGGAAGGCAGTGTTTCGCTATCAATTTGCCCCTCTTTCCTCCCCGTTTGCCTCTTCTTGTGGGAATGTTCTTTTGGATGATGTGGTGCTTTCTAAGATGAAGATATAAGTCTTTGCTGATACACTGTCGCCCTCTGTTCAAGTCCAACAACTCGCACCTTGAATACGTCTTCTGGCACGAAAACTTCACTCTGCGACATCCTGGGCGGGAAGCACAATGCAATACAACGGAGACACTTGCTGGAGATGGCGTTGCTTGAATTTGGTCGAGGTCACTCATAGTCAAAGAGATCTGGAGAAACAGGAACTAGAACTACGCGCACAAGGCAGCCACGGGGGCGCCATTTCTTTCTCTCTCTATTTTACATTTGATGATTTCAAAGCATTTGAAATGAAACTGACTGCTGTTGTATGCGTGCGGAAAGCAAGATTTTGGTCAAATATTGCACTCAAAAATATATTCCCGTGGGGTGAGCCCCTTGGGTGCTCCATATACATATGGTATGCATTCATTGAGCTCCAGTGCTTCGTTTACTTAAAATTAAGTAATGGGAAGGACATAACCGAGCCCAGGACTTTTCACCCCCAAGATTATTAGAGATTGGAAGACCTCGAGTAGGGAGTTATTCATCTCTCTCTTTCCTTTGGTACTTCCATCTGCATATCACTTTTTTTTTCCTGGCATTAATGAAAGCTTACTTGTCGATTGAATTCCTTATTTCGTTTTGGTGGGCAAAAATTATTGGCAAATAGATCAACAAATTTATTTAAAATTCGTTTCATGCATTGACATCGATTATGACAAATATAACGTCAAATATGAAGACATGGCATATATGGACAATATAAGGTGTAACCGAATTAGCATGTAATGCATTACAGCCTCTATGTAATTTGAGTTAAATCCAAACATTTTCCATGTACAGTCAACTATCGTTAATTCGAACGCCAGCAATCCGGATCCTCCGTTAATTCGGACATGAATAATGTTCCCGGCAGAAGTCCCATAGAACCAATAATAAAATCCACCTTTTAATCCGGACGTCGTTATTCCGTATTTTTCGTTTATCCGGAAGAGTTTTCTCATCCCCTGAGCCATTCTCCCCCCGTTAATCCGGACTTTCCAGCAAAATACAGACGATACAACAGAAAAGAATAGATTTCCCTGTTATTTTCTCACGTCTTCACTTTCCCTTACCCTTGCATTTAAAATAAATAAATAAATAAGAGAAAACGTTGGATATCCCCAATTTCCTGGAATCGAGTTATGAGGAGCGCTCTCTTCATTGAGACTTTCATGCTTCATTGTCATGTCACCCATCCTCTCTCAGCCTAATCTGTTCTTGCCATTAGAGGCACGAGAAGTTTCTTACCTCCCGTATTGAGTAAGTGTTCTCGGAGTGATCCCGCACGGTAGGAGGAATTGCAAGTTTTGAAGTTATCAGACCTAGGCTTCGTCCACGCCAGAAAGTTTTCTATGCCAGATTTTCATTGCTCTGGGAGATTCCTTCAAGAGTTTTCTTTCGTAAAACCTTAGTTTGCAACATTATATTATCATATATGCAGAAAATATGTATGGTGTGGACTAGGCCTTCGTTGAAAGATACGTTTGGTAGCACGTGATTTGAATATTCCAACATCGACAGTGTCGGATATAGGATATATAGAAGTGTCGCGATGAACTTGAACAGGGTACTGTCCTAGCTGGTGTCCCTCTCGCAGAAACGAGTGTGAAGCGCACGCTTTGAGGATGCATGAGTTGGAGCAAAGTCACATGTGGAATTTCTTCTATGTGACAAATCGGAAGAACAGAGTCCAAGTTTTCCTATTCCCGTGTAAACAATGCACCCCTTCTTTGCACATATTAGCTGCAGTTTTCTTCTCCAGGAAAAAAGAAGAAAAATGGTCACTTGGGCAGGTACTCGATAATCCGGAAGAGCCGTTAATCCGGACAAAATCACCAGTCCCCACGCATCCGGATTAACGAGAGTTGATTGTATTTTCGTTTCGTATGTCTATTTTAGGCAGGGTCATATATGAAAATGTCATGCGGTTTTCCACGTTCTGTTGTCTTTGAACAACATTCTCTCAACTTTGATGACGCTCTGCAACTTTCTTTCATGATTTCCTTTCCGATCCGATCTAGAAAATTTTTGTTATGGCTTTCAGTTACACAATTAAACCAATATCAATGCAAATGGGGAATAAATGAGCTTTCCAAATATCTAAAAATCAGCTTTGTAACTTGTTCCATAGACGAAAATCGAGTCAATGTTGCCCTGTAGCGGCTGAAATTCATTGAAATTTTCTCACTTTTGGGGTGAACGTAACACTTCAACTAAAACTGCGTCTTACAGACTTACGGAGAACTACAGTATAGAGTCCACCAGGCACCGTTGTTACCAGCCCCTACATTTGGTAATGGTGGGTGAAAATCTTGGAACATAGCAAAGTATTACATATATTTAATATAATATTTATGGTGCTGGCAGACGGACTTAAGCCGGGTTTGCCTCTGAAAAGCCAGGTACTACCTTTCTGATTTAATTCCGAAGCTTCAACGCCTAACGGCAGAAACAGTCTGGATAGGGTGCCGTGTCAAGCTAGCGGCCTCAAACCCCATGAAGACGCAAGCTGCATGACAATTTCTGGGATTTTTCTTCCCTGTCCTTCCTCGTTTAGTTTTCTTCAGCCTTCACCCTTTTCTGCAGGCTAACTTCCCATAGTCTAGCCATTCACTCTGTCAGGCTTAGTTTGGGAGCAGGGTTTTCCCCCTTTCCCGTAGCCTAGATTTGTTTAGGTAGGACTGGCACAATAGTAATTCTCGTTTTACTATAATTTAACATTAACATATTTTTGGAGAAGCCCTTTAAATGCATGAATGTCGATATCAAATGAAAAAGTGTCTGATTTGTGAAAAACAACTGAGCAGAGTAATTACAGTTGAAGGTACGAGCAATAGATGACGCTGATACTGGGCCAACATATTATGGTACCCTCCTTGCTTATGCTGCGCACACTCAAATGCAGAAGCCTTGGAGTCGAACTGGCGAACGTTAAGATTGTCTCCCAAAGATCGTGATCACGGCGCTGAGAGAAGAGGGAGTTGTGGGGGATATATTGCACCTGGTGACACCAAAATACACGCGTGATGTAAAAAATCACCACATTCCGGATTCGCATTTCACACTGGAATACGTAATTTCAGTGCTACCAAAGGCGTCACGCTAGCCCAGTGGGAATTCTATGTAACTGGGCCCATCATTTTCTTGGCGGGCTGTAGCAGAGCACAGGATTCAGCAGTGCATATGAAAGAATAATGCCGAACTGATAGAAAATAAGATACGAATGGACTCGTAAGGCCCATAGGCCTTAACACAACTGTGGATACTGACAACAGAAAATAGCCTGACTTCCTTAGGTTATAATTGAGTGGACGTCTTGAAGCACACAGAAGCTGGACCTGCATGTGATAATTAGGTGTTGCTTTTATCTGTGGATTGATTATTACTATGCCTTGACCATTGAGGGTGATATATACCTTTAGGAAGGTGTGATGCCCAGCTGATAACTAGATGACAATATAGAAAGAGGTATGAGTTAGAAGAGAGAGCATAAACCTCAATGAAAATGCATTTCTTTGGGGATGGTATGATGCCACTGGTGGTTGAAATGCAGCAGAGGTAATTATAAGCACTTGGTAGAATACGGTTTTCCTTAAGGAACCTATGCAAGGATTGTGAATGTATTCTTTGTTTCATTGATCCTTGCTTTTAGCCTTGGAGAGAGATCTTCATTTTAATCACTATAATTCTGTCAGGTCAAGGCTTATATTGAAATCCCATGGTAGCATATAGAGTTTCAGCTAAGTGACAGATTGAGGGTTGTGGAACATTCCAGGACTACAGGTGTAGCTACATGTGATTCACCTCAAGTGACACAATAGGAAGGAGAGACCAGGGAAGGGGGGTGAAGAGAGAAGAGTGCCTGTGCTGCTATAATGCTTTTGCATTCTCTTTGGAAAAGCATGATATTCCAGAGATATTGTCATTGCATGTTTGAAGAGATTACTTTATCTGTTACATTAATTAATGTTTTTGTCACATTATCTACCTGGATGGGACAAGTTCCAGACTATTTCTGCTGAAGCGTGAGGGCGAGAAGGAATCCATGTTGCTGAAAAAATTCCTCTTGAAGTAAAATTTGATGCTACCTGCTGCTTCATTGCAGAACATAATGTGACTCATGAAATCCAGTGGTATTCAAGTATTGTTGCTTGTCTGTCTCATTTCAAACCTATTTTTAGGCTGGCAAAGCCTTGCGGAATGTAGGAAAGATCGCAACAACCAGCTGATCCTAATTCATTCAGCTTTGACCAGTCCTAAGGCTGAAGTGAGGAGATGCCCCAATTACAGGACTCAGGTCTGAGTGTAGAGCGAGTCAGGAAAGGCATTAAAATGAAGAGATCCAGTGGAAGACAAAGAAGTCGTACTGATAGTGATGTCTTCAAGCCTGGGGATCCAGAAACTGATACAGTTGGGATCCTTCCTCCAGCTGTCAGGTCAGAAATGCTGAGTCTACCTTTGATTACTGTCATGAGCCAGGCCTATCCATAGGCCTTTCAATTGTCCAAGTATTCAGAAACCTTCTTTTAGTTTTGACTTAGTCTGATATCACTGGTCTCTCCAGCAGGGCCCGTCTTCATGACCTATTTATGCAGATTGAAAAGGAATTTGAAAGTTTGTATGTGGAGAACTTGTCATGTGAGTTTCTGTGGTTATCCTTCCCCTTTCTCATCTTTTTATGTATTTTTATTAAGCTCAGGAGCTGGCATTGAGTTTCTGATAGTAAATCCAATCGGCATGCTGCATGAAGTACAACAAGAAGTTCTCATTTTGCCTAAATATCTGTGGATAAAATATATGGTGCCTAAGGCTGTCAGCTGCTACTTGCTAAAATAGAATTGGTTGCCACATGTTCCTGTAGATGTGTTTGGTTTATCACACTCTCATCTTTAGAATAGTAACACTTCCAGACTAGCAATCATAAATAATGACCTTGTGCAAATGTAAGACCTGGAATTACCCCAAGGACTACCAGTACTTTGGTAGGGTCAGTTATATTTATTCACATGCATGAAATCACCACACTTTCCTTTTGTGATATGAGATTTCTCTACTTTAGTACTGCTCTTGCATGAATAGGAACTTACTGGAAGGTGCCCAAGAATGGGATTATTTAAAAGAAAAAGGAATTCATGGAAATTGAGTGCTTGACTGGTAAACTTGTCACATTCTTATGCAGTGCAAGAGAAACTTGACTGGGCTGAGAAGGAATGCATGCCTAGTGAGAAAGTACTTCAGGCTGAGACCCCTGATGCAGGACCTCTCAAAGCCAAAAGTAAGCTATGGGAAACTGGGTCCCTTGTGCCATGCCTTTTGAAGAGACATCTCCTGCCAGTGTGGAGCCATGAGATACAAAAGGTTCTTTGTGCATGTTTTTCCTCTAGACCAGGGTAGCCAGAAAATCAAGCCAGCACAAAAGCTGCGAGTCCAGACAAGCAGAATTGTGAGTAGCTTCAAGCCTTCTGGAGCAACATGCACCCTTGTCCGTGAATTCCTTGGACACAGAGATGGAGTTTGGCATGTGGCTGTAGCCAAGAGTCAACGTCTTGTAGCATCTGCATCTGCTGGTAAAATCCTTCACTTTGAATCCTAATCCTGTTTAACATTCATTTGTTTTGAGACTGCATAGAAAATAAAATTTGCAGAGGTACATGAACTCAGAAAGTAATGAATGTCAATGATTGGACTTGCTTGCAGACCAGCGAGCCTTTGTGTGGGAAGTAGAAAGTGGGAAATGTTTGGCACAATATCGTGGCCATTCCGGGTCAGTGAACACAGTGCGCTTCCATCCAACCCAGGATAGTCTAGTCCTCACATCTAGTGGTGATGGCACTGCTCATGTTTGGAGAGTCAATCCTGACCAGGTATGCATTTGTTCTTAGAATGAGCTTCATTGGCTCTGAACTGAAGATAGATTCACTAACTTCTTGAGTTCAATATCCTAATCAGCTCAGTTTTTCTTCTGGTAGCGGGGTCAGACAACAGGCTCTTCAGAGGAAGAGTTGGAAGGCATGGATGAACTGAGTGGTGCTGTTGGGGGTCCCATAATTGATGATGTGGGTGATTCCACATCCACACAACGCTATTATACTCCTCTCCTCACTCTTCGGGGTCATTCTGGTGTGGTTATTGCTGCTGACTGGCTTGTCTCACCTGAGCAGATTGTCACTGCTTCCTGGGATCGAACTGCAAATGTGTATGACAGCTCCACAGGAGAGTTCTTACTTGCACTCACAGGTAAAAGTTTTGGTTACATTTATGGAAGGCATATGAGAATTTGAAGTATTATACTTAGAATGAAGTATTGTATTGATGAAGTATTTGAACTATGTCCTTCGGTCTCATGTTAAGGTCATGATTGTGAGTTGACACATGTATGTGGACATCCAAGTCAACGCCTGGCCGTCACATCCAGCAAGGACACCACCTTCAGACTCTGGGATTTCAGGGACCCCATTCACTCTGTTTCTGTCTTTCAAGGCCATACTGAGTAAGTGAAGTGAGGACTTTCCCTAAATCAAAAATGTGCAATATGGGATTTTTCATTTTATTCTTCCCTTGAAATAATATGGAGAAAGATGAGATGTTGATTCAGGTTTGTCAGAAGTTCATGTCCTGGCCCAGAACCCAGTATTCAGAGAAGGCACGTTTAGTGTTAAACCTAATGGTAGCCCAAGGGGCATTATTCACAATTGAAATTATTCTATGCAGGAAGATTGGCAGGGCTTCAGCATCATCACTGAATGGTAGATTTGCATTTTATGGTGCTGTTTTGAACTTTTTTTTTTTTTTTTACCCCCAGGTCAGTGACATGTGCAGTTCTGACAGCTGAGGATAAGGTGGTATCAGGCTCAGATGATCGATCAGTGAAGGTGTGGGACTTGCGGAACATGCGTTCCCCTTTGGCAGCCATCCACCTTGATTCTCCTGTGAATATCCTGGATGTGTCTTCCCAGGGTATAATTGCCATTCCTCATGACAATCGACATGTCCGTCTCTATGATAGCCTGGGCCAACGCATTGCTCGGCTACCACGCAATAGCCAGCAGGTCAGCATTAGGGAATTACAAATTTCCATCATTAGTATAAACTAACTTACAATCAACATGTAAATGTTTGATTTGAGTTCACATTATATTGCTCATAACTATTACAAATTGAAATTGTGTATTTGGTGAGCTGCATGTTTGCATGCTCTTTACCTCTCCCTCAGAAGCTGAAAGCAATTTTTATAAATAATTTGCTTGGAATTCCTGCTTTCACAGGCTCATCGACGCATGGTGTGTGCATGTGCTTGGGGAGAAGATCGACCAGGCCTGAAAGCCAATCTTTTCACGTGTGGATTTGACCGGCGTGTCTGTGGCTGGAAGGTTGTACTCGCTAAGGACAAGGATTAACTATCACTCGTTTCTTCTTCCTTAATTTTTCTCCTGCTGATACCAGTGTGATTTCCAAAGATATTCCATTTCCAAATTTTTGTTTACTTCAGCCAAATTTTCCCCCATTCTGTTGAAGTCTTTTGCACAACCATAGCAAACAAGCACAAGCAGAATGCTGTATCTCGTCATTCCTTTATGTGCATTCTCATCCACCATCTTCATAGCCATGGACTCAGTGTGACTGAAGCTACTGGTATTCCCTAATCCTCATTTCTGAGTTTGTCTGAAGCTGTTGCAGCAATGTGAGATTGTTGTGAATATTTTGCCTCTCTCCCTTAGCATTTTACAACATGCAGCTGTGAGTTAGCATTTCCCAGATGTGAAGTTGAACTTGGATGGGAATCCAATGCAAGTGAAAATTTGTGGCATTGGTCTTCCAGTTATAGTTACCGTTCCATTTGTAGTAACAGTAAATGAATGACCTCATCTACTGTGGTAGGTCTGCATAGATTTCCATTGTTCTCCCATTTTCTAAGATTTCTCCCATAATTCTTTTTGTAGGCCTTATTAATTCCCATCACTACCCATGAATCAAAAGTTATTTACTTATATTGAAAGTGGTGCATGTTCGACTCCCTAGACATTCTTCCATCCTTGATACCCTTTGAATACAAAAGATCAGCTGCAGATGTAGACTGAAGGGAAGTAGAGAGAGTAAGTCCCTGTCGTGTTCTTAAGTCCTCTGGCTCCATTTCAGGAACTTTCTCCTGTGGAAAGTTCACTCATAAACCTGACCAATGTTTTCAAATTGGTGATATATGTGATACATGTAGAAATTCACATACTTTGCAGAATCTGAGAGAATATAGTATGTACACCCAACAGTGTTGGCATTTGTTCCTGATGCCAGAAGTTTATTTTGGATTGAAGAGGTGCTCCTTGAGAGTATCCTTTGGGAATTCATAACCCCATTCACTTCAATTGATATTCTTTCCATTATCAAAATCAATTTATCTTTTTGTCTTCTGTCTTCACCTTCCTCAGAAATTACTTCATCAGTTTTCACCCCTTAGCAGATATGTCTATGATGGGAATTTGCTTGGATGACCATACTGTATGAAACATGAGTTGGATGGGGATCTGGTGGTTCCTTTTGATTTTGAAGGTGCTTACCTCCCACAGTGAGCCTCACCATGACCTGGATTTCCTCAATAATGTTCTTTCCCAGGTTAGCACTGTTGGTTAACTACATCAGTTTACTGTATTTACAGTTAAGTTTTGAATATTACATATTATATAGAGCATGGAATCCAGTTCATCTGTCCTCTCTGCTGGAGCTTCAATTCACTGGCAGTCTTGCTCATTTCTGTCTTTGTGCTTGCAAGATGTAACTCCTCTAAGAATAACTTCTCCCTTTTGTGCACAGAATTTATAATTCCTTTCTGTGTAATGATAATGTTAATAATATTTATAGTACAGTGTAAGCTCACCTGTTGTTTTGTTACCCCCAAAAGGAATTGAAATAAGTTCAGGCATAATTTATTCAATCATAGTTTATTTAATGAATCAGGATCAACATCCATCTTTTTTTGTTGAGGAATGACTGAAAATTCATAAACAATAAGTGTGACCAATTTGTCTCAACCTATCAGGTGCATTCACTGGAAGCAGAGGTGAGGAGTAACAGTGAGGAATCTGTAATCCTTGTGACAGAGCATAAAGAAGGAAACAAGCTGGCCCTTCGCATCCATTCCCAGAGGGGCAATACCACTTGCTTTTTTGACAGCACTTCCCACATTGGACACGTCATTCATGGTTTGGTTCTCATATGAATACTCAAGATGACAAAAAATGCATTTCAATTCGGAGTGAACAAATAGTGCCTTCTAGTTGGGCACTGGGCAGAAAATCAGAAAATGGGAATGGAGTTAACCCTATTTTTCTTTTTTTTTTTCTCTCCTTTTTTTTTGCTTTTGTAGTGGACCTCCCTTCCTCTGTGAATGGCCACTTATGGTCATGTCTTGTCTGTGTATGTTAGTCTATTTTTTATATTTTCACTGTTCAATGATGCTCAGAAAATTTTTTCATTCAGACTCTTGAAAAGTGGTATGCTGAATCAATTGACTCATGGAAAAGATACAAGATCAGCTCTTAAAAGAAATCATTAAAATTTATGCTATGAACATTTCATCATAAAATTATAAATTCTGTCACTTTGGAAAGGGCAGTGTCATTACTTTCCTTGAATCAATATGCAATGAACATGCACAGCTCTCAGCCTATGTGGGGGTGTTATCAACTACAGATGCCAGTTTCCCCTCCCCCATTTAGTAGCTGATAGATTCACTTTTGAATTTGATGAATGGAGAACCTGAACACATGGCAGCAACCATAGGGTGGCTATCTGCATTCATGAAGTGGCCAGATGTACACTTTATCTTCACTTCATGTTCTTCTGCTAGATATCATTGTCATGCTGTCCATCACCCCTCTTCTCCTTTTCTGTCATTATCTGCAATTAAGGAATACAAACTTAATTAAAGAATTTTAAAAGGAGAGTTTAAGTTAAGGAAATTCTCAAGCATTTTGGAAAAATTTGGTCAAGAAATGAATCATTTATATTCAAAAAGTAATAGCCTTGTTCAGAGCTGGTAAGATGAAATCCCCCTTTAGTGGAAAGAGGTCAACTATGTAGCTCTTTTCATTCCAAAACTTTTCTCTTACTTGCTCTTACTTGACTTATTGGTATTGGACATTTTAGAAGACAATGTTGGTACACCTTGTCTTGCAATCAGCTTTAATTTTGAAAAGTGATCTCAACAAAACATCAATTGGGCATCTGAAAATAAATATACACCATAGCAATTTCTCCATACCTGGAATGGAATCAAAACTGAACTTATACTTTGATTAAGTATTTTGTAATTCCTTTTTCCTGCCTTGAATGATTTTTATTTTTGTATATGGAGTGGAAGATATCTTACCTAAAATCTACCTGATTGTTCTTGAAGGTGTGGACTGTCAGCGCTCAGGAAGTCTCCCCCTAGAATGCATTTGTCAAAGTAGTGGGTGCACCCCATACATTCCAACCATGGCAATAATGGACTACTTGGGGGAACACAAGGAACATACAGAAGTGAATGAGAGTGTTGTTGGCCCAGCTGATGTCGTGCATCTGAAGCATGATTTCAATGGGACCTCAATTGAGGCTGTGTTCCTTGGCAATGCCAACCACTCATCCTTCACCCTCCAGTTTATCAGGGTTGCCACTCAAGGTGAGACACTGGGATTATCATAATGCCATTGTTTATCGTATTTATCACATTACATTGCTGAAACTTAGCGCAATGCTTCTTTCTCATTCCATATGTGTCAGGTGCCAGTACCAGCATGCTACTCCAAATATTTATTTATTCATTTTTCAATCAATGGCCACTGCCAACCCACTAAATAATTAATTTTGAGATTCTTGTGACATTCCTATCTGCACTATTTTTTGAGCACATTCAATTTAACCCCTTTCTGCATACTACTCAGCAATATAATACAAACCATCATAGTAGTGTTATTTGCATAATTGTAGAACCATTTCAATAAAGTGCATAACATAGCATATTAAGTATGAAGCTCTCAACCTGCCTGTAATATGCAGCCATCTGTTTGTCAACCGAGCAAAATACTACCTCTGCTGCATATAATTTTGCCCTTGATCATGATGAATTTTTTCATGATCAAATAAAAATTCAAGCAGTAAGGGACTAATAAATTCTTGTTTATAGCTTTGGAATGGAATCGAGCCAGAAGGCAAAAGGAGCAGGAACAGAAAAATTAGCTAGAACAAAATGACTAATGGAATTCCTCAAAGGTAATCTTTTATTAGGTACAAGTGATTAGGACCTTCTCTTATCTCAAATGAGATTGACTAGAATGTCAGCATCATCAACTTTTTGTTCATGTTATCTGTTTTTCTTGTCAACTTGGAATTGAATCCCCCAGCCATTGCCTAAACCAATTATCACATTTTTGCCTGGAGCTCTTTTTTGTTTGCCAGCCAGTGTGCATTTGCCTAAAGCAGATTAGATGGATGGTTTGAATAAAAGAGGGTTCTTTTTTTAGAATTCTTGTGATTTAATGCATGTTTCTTATATATTTTCCATCCTTTCCCTTTTCTCTGATATACAGTATGTAATAACTATGTAATAGGCTAAGTGCACCACTACACCATAAGTATTTGTAATTGAGTAAAATTATGGATGTACAAGCACAGGTGAAAAGTTTGGCCTACCAAGTGGAGAGCTAAAACTTGAGTATCGAATCCTGGGCTGGGATACAGAAGAAGATGAGGATGCAGATGCATTTCGTCCCCCACCAGGAGTCTACTGCCCTCCAATCAATTCCAGCCTCCGACCCATGCCCTCCCTTTCTGATCAGTTCTCCCTCGACGCTGAGGCTGTCCTCCAGGCACGTCGCAGCTCCATCTTTCATATGACAATTTAATGACTATATTTAGCCTCATGCACATTTCTAACCCTGTAGGAAAGTCACCTGATCAGCTATGAGACACTACATGTTGACTCTGTGGAGAAGCTTTTGTCCTACACCTATCGCCCACACCTCCACTATGCTTCAGACTTCCTCTATCATTTAAATCTCTTTCTCCCTAACCAAAAGGGATCAGAAGCGTTTCGAATCGTCCATGACTTCAAGTCTGGTCTGTTTTCAATAATACTATCGTTATGTTGTGTTAGGTACATGTATGGAAATTGATTCAATTCAGGCAATACATTTTGGCAAAGCTCGTAAAGTACATGAATATGATATCTAGATAGATTCAGTAGATAGTCCTAGATGGTATTCAAAACATAACTGTCCTAGATTTTGGAGGGATTTTGGTTCTCATTTTGGGGGGGGGGTCTGACCTGCTCATGACTTGCACAAATAAGATTTGTCACTGCAAGAGCAAGTACATTTATCATACGTGTTCACCTCATAGGGATTCAATATCGGATCAACCAGGCATCAGGAAACTGCAGCATTGAGCCAATTCCTGCAGTGGCAACAGATGCTGTCCCACTTTCTAATCACCACAGTCACATCAAACATGCCAACGACCTCCTGTTCATGCCCCTTGGCAATGACTACGTCTACAGTGGAACAGTTCGTATCCCCTCTTTGACCCAGCCATTGTTTTTTATTTCTCATCATCTAGAGTTTTGAACATACCAGTTGTTCTACATTCAGTTAAACCCACTACTATGTGGAGATAGCTCTTCGCTCTCTTGAAATTACCACTTCAATCTTGCCATAAGAATTCTCAAACACTCTCTTATGCAGAGACGAGTGAGAGGAGTCCTCTGCGATGTTTGGATTGGGAAGAGGCCAGTGAATCGGGATTTTCACTCCACAGTTGAGATCATCTTCTCCCATCGCAACTGGACCATTGAGGTTGAGGTCCTCAACCAGGAGAGGCAGATCCCCATGGCTGTCATCACATATGCCACCAAAAATGTAAGAATCTCTTTCCAAGAAAATGATTGCATGAGAACAAGACTGCATTACCAGGTGGAGATCCAATTCATTCAGACTGACTAGCTGCTGTACTTTTGTGGATTTCCTGTCCAAAACTTGAAACTTATATCTGATGTTACCTTCAATGCTCAATAAGCTGAAATATTTAAGGTTTCATCATGTTGACTCATATAAAATATAAAATATAGCAATATTATATTGATACTGGATATAAGACTGATATTTTGGAGATTTCTGTAACTATCTATATTTAAAATGGTAGTTTTGAAAGCATCTAAGGATCAACCTGAACCATCTATGTAATGGAAATGTATATCATTATTGACAGTTGTGCATAATGGAGAGGAAAAGTGAAAATTTAAACTAATGAGAATGTCAGGCTGTGTACAGAATCCTGCATGGTTCATAGTCAAATCTGCACCATGTGTCAGTAATATCCAGGGTGGAGCCAGAACCTAGAACAGACTTATAGAAAAGTAAAAAAATTTTAATAAGAAGCTTGTTTTTTGCCCACACTGAAGTAGTTGATGTTCCTTTCTTTCACTCATTTTCCAAACTCAGTGGCATATGAAGTTTTAATACTGCAATACCTTTAGCACTCACACTCACCCTCAAACTCTTTTTGGCATTTTCGTTCGCAGCCAACAGATGCCTTGCAAAGCCTTATTATTAACCCCTTCACAGGCAGGTTTTTTGAAAACACAGTACACCTTACTGGCAGCTTTTTTTTGCATGCCCTTAACCCTTTATTGCATGGTGTGGCAGATATGCTAAATTTCGAACCAAAAAACATTTGAACGATAAACTACAATTGAAAAGCACAATGATAAAAATGTTTGGACCCTAAGTTTACAATTTTGAGATAAGTTTTTTTTCTCCTATTTTTCCTGTGGTATAGGATCGAAATTAAACCTTCCAGATTCTATTTACCCAAAAAATAAAAAAATCATTAATTTTAATCATTAGTGCTTACAGGTGCAACTATATACATATGTATGTGCTCATTTTTAGCATGCACTGTAGATCCATCTCATCCTGTAATTTAGAACTTTCAGCAAGTCTCATGGCTTAATCTTCAAGGAAAGCCTTGCAGGAGCTTGACAATTCAAAATTGAAAAGACATTATGGTGTTGAAATTTTTTTCCTTAGTGCAATGAGTATGGTTCAATGATTGAATGACCTCTGTTGTGAGTCCAAATGTATTTTGTCTTAATGCTGCCCCATCAGAGGAGTGAGGATCGCTTCCCAAAGGTAGCTCGTACTTACTTCTATAGTTACAGTGTAGGTCATTCTAAGTGGGAGCACTTTGAGATTGCTTCGTGTCTCAAGCGCAACAACCGTCTCTTTCTTGGCCTCACCCTTCAAGGTCTGCTCTTTCACTTGCATGGAAGCCACTTGACTTTATTCTGATGTGCTTGTACACATTTTTCAGTTTGATTTATTTATTACCCTTTCATCACTTTCAATGCAGTGAGTTATGATTACCTGCTGCAACACAACTTGGATTCCATCCACGACTCCATCCGCAGAGAGATTGCTGGCCTGGCAGCTGTCTCACCCCTTCGGATTACAGATCTCTCTGTGAGTCTTTCTGTATTTTGTCTGGTATGAATTAGCTGTGCAAGAAATAAAGGATATCTTCGAGTACACATGGTGGTAGAGTATGTGACTGCAATTGCCCTCAGGCCAGAAAGTCACCAGGATCATTTTATATTGCCATTCAGGAAGCTTAGTAGCTTTCAAGATCAAAGCTCAATCATCATCCACTTGCAGTATTGAAATGCTGCTATTACATTCATGCCTGCCTTGCATCCTACTTCCTGTGACTCCAGCTCATATCCACCACCAAACAATCATGCTAATATATAAATCTTCATATGCACCTGTTTTTTCCCTGGACACTGATGCACACAAACCTCTAAGTATGGGAAAGCTTTTGTCTAATTGGCACAGCAGCTGGGGAAGAGAGCATTAATAAAATGAACCCTTTGACATATAGTCAACATGTGTTGTAGATCAAGTATTTAATCTCAAATTCATCACAATTTAAAGGTGGTCAATAGACATTTAGCATTAAAAATTGTTCCCCCTCTTTCATTTGCATTATAAAACTGGCAAATGCAAAAATTAACCTTCACATATCCACAATGAGTAACACCCAAAACCTTAACCCATGCTAGGAGGTACTTACTGATGCAAGTGAAAGCTTGTGCAAGGATGTATTCATGAATTTTAAATTTTTCTAAGAAAATATTTTGCATTTCTTTTAGCCAATGAATTTTTTTCCTGCTACCAATTTTTTCATACTTCACCAAAGATACAGTTACCTGAAGTCTGGTTTAAGGAATGCTTTTCTTGCAGCTAAGCTCAGGAGTGAAACCTGAGGAGTTGGAGGTGTATTTTGTGCTGCTGGAGAGGGCAAACTTGACATCTGGAAGTTTAAATGATGGGAAGATGCCTGTGAGCATGTCAGATGCATACATGTTCCTTTCAAACAGCACTGGGAAGGATATACCTGTCCACTTGCGACTCAAACTCTATCCTGATAAGATCCAAGTATTTAGCTCAATTCTTATAAAAGGTTCTTTAGCTAAGGAAATTTACTAGCTTTCTTTCCCTCATCTTTCAGGTGGTGACAGTGAAGGAGAAGTCATTGCATAGATTGTCTGAATCTTTTCATCCTAATGGTAGGAGACAGAAGATCCAACTTGCTCATGCTGGTTACACAGCAGGTGAATGGTTTATTCATTTTTAAAAAATCAATTATTTGTAATTTGAACGAATTATGTGTTTGAATTGCTTTGTTTTGTCCACTGGTTACAGGGTCTATGGCAGGTCTGGGATTCTCAATGGCAATACTTGGAGTGGGCCTTGGAATGTTCATAGGTTTCCTCATGTGGAAGAAGAATCAGTCATCCCTCAGCTACCTTATTGCTGATTGAGTCCCTTGTATCATTTTATGTCTTCAGGAAAATTCTTCCTTCATTGTCATGCTCAAATGCTTGTCGAATTCAGAGCACGAGGTGCCCACTTTAGTTAGTGTGTATGAACACGAGTAAAGGACTCGTGAACTTGGTCAAATCTCTTTTATTGGGGGTCAAAAACATCGTCAAAAGGGTCACATTCATCCATATGAAAGACTTTTTGGCAAAAAGAAAACGGTCCCTGCGTAAACAAGGAGGCAGTCAACGTGCAAATCACCCATCACACGATGCTTTTTCGTACTCTAGTTATGACAGAAGGGAAAATTAGGACAGCTGGCAGGATCGAAGTCGGCAGGGTACTGAGCCGACTGGAACTGTTGAGGCTGGGAAAGGGACGCCGACCTGGCGTCCACAGGTGGGACCTGCACGATAGGAACAACCAGCTCCGCTCCAGCTGAAGCCGGCTGGACGGGATTACCCGATTGGTAGTCGTAGTCGTTCAGAGTGGTTCCGCCCTGATCGCCAGAAATCTCAATTACTTCCACCTGGTCATTGGCAGTGCCAGGTTGGTAATCGTAGTCCTTGACTGCAGGGGCTCCCACCTGGCCTTCGGCGTTACCCTGTGTATAGTCGTAGTCATTCAGCTGGCCCGTTTGCTCCTGCCCCTGGCTTACTACTGGAAATGGATTGAGCGGAGCGTAGTTGCAGAAGGGGTAGTTGGGACAAACGGCCGGATTCACGCCAGCGGGGACCTTCACGGAATTCTGCAGTGGAGGGGCGAGTGCGGCACGGAAGGAATCCGGCAGGTTATCCGAGCAGAAGGGGAAGTTGTGGCATTGCGTGAAGTCGAGTCCCGCCGGGTACTCGAGATTAATGATGGGTGCAACCACCGGGACACCGACCCCTCGGGCCAGTCCCGATTGAGGGTCAACATTCGGGTCGCAGATAGGGTAGTTGGGGCACGCGGCTGGACTCACACCTGCTGGTACTTCCACCGGGAGGGGGTTCGCCACGCATGACGTCAGCAGGACGCACAACACCGGCAGGGCCAGCTGTCCCTCCCCAAAAAAATTTAGGTGAAAAATAGAAGCTAAGGATATAAGAGCGTTTCATCTTCAGCCGGTTGCATCGACGACTTGGACAGATTTCATACGGCAATACCAGACTGGAAATTGATAAAGTCTCTGTATATTCATGCCCATGCACGTCGAATACTCGAATGAGAAACGAAATTCCGAATGGGATTGAACTGGACTGCAGTTTAGAAGTCGGTTTTGGAATCGTAAGATTAGCCTCTCAAAAGAATAATAGGAATTAAAAAATCGCCAAGTCGTGTCAACAGAACAAGTAAAAAAAACTCACCATGTTTGCTAGACGACAGACGATGGATGAAAAGAGAGACGTGTTCTTCACTAGAGATATGACCAGGGTGTGCGACAGAGCATCGGTGTTCTTCCAGGGTTTTTAAAGACGGAGGCCCCGCCTCCACCCCCTCGCGCACAGGCGCCTCCACCCCACTCTCCCTTAATCCCCGTCGAACGAAAAATATATACAAAAAAAAACAGATGAAACTACGATATCGCCAAGGAAATGGGAGATTCCAGGAGGGAAAAGACGATACGTTGCGCTCGTTCCACCCTGGAAAAAGCAGTTCGTTCGAAGGAATGCCAAGGACGAGAGAGATAAAATCGGGAAGCAGACGAGGGGGAAACAAGTGCGAAAAACGTTTCGTGCGACTTGTGGCTTCACGAGAAAAAAAGGCAACATGAAGTTAACGGGTATGATGAGTTTGTGCGCAAAAACCAATATGTTTGTGATGATGGGCTGGATCGCGCTGGAACGAACCGAAAACATGTAAGAACCCTTCGCTCTCCGTGGGAAGGACGAGATGAAATTGCTTCAGGCCAGTCAAAAATCTTCGACTTAATCACTCGTAGGTCTAGAGGGAGGTGGAAAAACTGACAAATGCGGAAAAAGAGTTATTTGGAAAACATACCCGACAAGGCAGTATTTAACACGTTGACCGCCACGGCAATGCTGGCCTATTCATTTTCCCATTCCCGTGGCGGTCAACCTGTTAAGAAGAGGTTCTTTATGCCTGTTTTGCGAACGTTAGAGTCTCTATTTACTTTTTCCTTCTTTGAATAAAAAAAAAACTGAAATAAAAGTCCTTACTTTTTTTCCGTAGAAAGTTTCGGTAACTTTTTTTCCCCGCCAGTGCCAGTTCTAGGGGTCCTTTTTCCAGATGGCTTTTCTGCAGATCCTCGAAACGATGTGAGTTATAATTACTTCGTAACGATCATAACGCATTGCGCATGATGGCACGTGGCAACAATCTGCTGACATACAAGGAACACCTTTTTTTTAAGCAGCTCACTTTTCTTGCCGAAAGACGTTCTTTACACCCTTGATTTTTTCTCAAACTACTCTTCGAGTCAGATTTCTGAACTGACAGCGAAATTTCAGTGTGCAGTGTGTTTCAGTCCACCACTCTTCATAAATTAAAGAACAGGGAGAAAAGGAGAGGAAACTATTCCACGACGTTCACAAAACAGGAACAGAGCCTTTATTACATTATTTTGCATATATTTTGGCAGTCGGATGTCTTCCATGTGTCTTTTTCCGAACCCCGGAAAAAGCGATCCGCATTGGAAGTTTTCGGCTTGCAGAAACCCATGGAGAGTCGGCGAATGTATCCGCCTTTGGGAGCGTTTTCCCTTCGACCCTCGCCGCCGCCTCCTCCCAGACGGCGGTGACTGCGACTCGGAAATCCCGCTTGGAGCGTCGAGTCGGGTGGAGTCTCGCCTCTGGCCCCGAAGGCATGCGATCTCCCCACGTTCTGTCGTCTCCAGGGACGTCACCTCGGGGAGGCTAAGGGGAGGAGGGGAGGGGAAGCCTCCTTCCTCTCCATCCATAACTCCTCGCCTTCGATGCAGTTCCCCCCCCCCCCCCCCTTGCAGAGTACGAAATGACGTCTCTGCCGCTTTCCTGTCTCGTTTTCGGATCGTACGGTCGCGATCGTCTCGCACGTTGGTGTTGTGTTGGGGGAAGGTAACAGATCCCGATACGTTTGATATGACGTGTTCGCTGGAAAACGACCAAACGATTCGAATTTTTTTTTGGAATCTCATAGTGATGGATATAGCAGTTATAATTGAACTTTTTTTGTTTGCTTATACAGGGTGGTGCATAAGTCCTGTCTCGTATGAATCTTTCACTGAATCAAATGTTCAAACTGGTTGCCTAGGACTGTTTCGCAGACATGGGGAATTCTCTCGCGCACACGTGTGAGACTCTTTTTTCATTGCCGCACACCACCCTGAATGTAGTCGGGTGGCTTCTCTGGGGGACTTTTTCGAGTATTCATCTCGGCTGACTTTTTTTCCGGGTGACCTTCTCAACACCTCTCACCTCTCCCACCCGAGCTTGTGAAATTCCTGCTGTTCGCACTGAGCTTGCAAGAACTCACAGCATTATTGAATGATCTCAAACAGGCTCTAATTCGCTGCTGTGAAGGTACCTCCAGGCGGTAGGAGATGCAAGGGCGAGGACGTCAATGCAAGGACACCTACTACACGTAATCATACGGGATCCTCTCGCTGTGTGGGATGGACCCGCGGGTAACAGACTCCGACTTTCTCGTCCCATTTTGTGAAATTACTTCATGAACCTTGTGGAAAAAAGGTTCCACTTTGCGATGGGGTGGGGATGAATTTCCCACGTCCACTCTCCCCAAGCAGTCCCGATCAAACCCTACGAATCGATAGACGAATCGAACGTCGAATCGTTGAACCCACGGACGAAAAGGGATGCGCGGAAGGACCCTCGGAGCTCCGTTCGAAGGACGCACCCGATTCAGGGATTCTCGGTCCCTTGGCCTTGCCAATTTCTTCCCCTTTTCCGACTGCCCCGGGATAATGCATTTAAAAAGGTCTTTTGGGGGCTGCAGGGAAAATAGGCCTATTTTTGTCGCTCGGGGCCCATGTTCGACTTTCACTTCTATCCTCCCATTGCAAACAAGGAGACTTTACGAAAAACAGCTTCTATCCCTTCTCTCGACCCGTGCTCGACACGATCTGCATTCGTGCAAATAAAACAATTAAAACTTTGAAGCAGGAGAGTACCCTTGTTCGGTTTCTTTCTTCTTAAAAATGTTGGTATTTTTTGGTCTCAAGCGATATCGTGCATAATTCCCAGATGACACCAGTAGCGGTTCGTCAGGGTAGGCAGGGTAGGCAGTGCCTACCCAGCTTAAAATCAGAGTTCTCAAAATATTATTTACTAATTCATTCTCCGATCAACACATCTGGAAATACTTTTCCCTTGCAAGGTGAAAGCAAAATTAGATTACGTGTTCAGAATAGGCACGCCGTAGCCAGCCTACGGTAGTTAGGCTCAAATCTCCACGAATCCAATGCAGGAATGAGAAGGCGAACGGGACGAGAAGTCCTGGAATGAGACATGGTAGGCTTGGCTACGTTGCGTAGCTGCTCCTTGCGCAGGAAGGTAAGGAATCGCTTGCTCACGCCCTACGCTCAGAAGCACTTGCTTGTTGAAGCCTCAGTCGTTGTCACACCTGATCGGACCTATTCTACAGTATTGTCATACAGATTGGATTAGGAATAATTCCGAGAAGCTTCTATCAGTCCCTGGGCCCCGGCTCCCCTTGATTACCCCGCTATGAATTAAGACTGACAGTGATTCGCATCCCTAGGGTGTCTCCCAGTGGTATAATTTCATTCATCGAAGGCTTAAATCTTCGTAACTTTTCCTGTTTGATGCACACGATTTCCTTGATGGCTAGTTCTGATTGTTAGAAATAGATATGCAATTATTGAATGCAAGAATCCTAAACTTTTATGTCAAACCCGTAGCCAAGTGGGGGAGGGAGGGGGCAACGGCCTGCTACATGTACAATCAGAAGAGGCCGCCACTAGACGTTACGTTGGGCCAATACAAATACAGGGTGGGTTATCAGTTTTTTCATATGTTAACCCCCCCATCCGGATTTCCTGGGCACGCTACTGATATCCACACGTTGAAAAGAACTGCAGAAGGCCTGGTGGAGAACTTCAACACCTTGAAGTTCTTCGCCAGGTCACTAGATGGAGGTATTGGTCTCGCTTTTAACACTATATGCTAAAGTTCCTTTCCCTCTTTCCCTGGAATCGTCCTTTACAGGATTGTTTAGAACCTCGCTATATGTCTCGCCTAGTCTAGTATAGGAATCAATAAACGATGACATTTCATCATTTGTTATCCACTTATTCAAGACAGATTCATGGAGCTCAGGTCATAAACAAGCGCAAATTCCCGATGAGAACCCTTCTGAAAAAGTCCTCAAAGACATGGTGGTTGGGAGTCATGTGTTGGTCCACCACACATTTAGCTCCTATTTTTGTAAAAGAAAAAAAATGGTTCTCAAAGGATAAGGAGACCTGAAATTAAAAAAGGTAAGTGTCCTTTAACCTTGATCTGCTATATCTTCATCTCTATGGCAAAAGGAGGAAATGTCTGATATTGTGAATACATCATGGAATCGAACGAGGTGGCTCACCCTCTGACGTACCCCTCCCACGTCTGCTCTGTCCTATGTCTCCTGCTTATCTTCCACTGGATAAGGATTTTAGGTATATGGTACGAAATGATGGCAAATATAGATCAAATACCAGTTACTCGGGTAAGTGGGTTATACGTTGCTATCTGAATTACTGTCAACGTTGGCCCCACGTTGGCCCAACGGTCACTTTCACGTGGGGCCTACGTAAATAACCCACGTTGGGTCAACGTATCCTGACGTTGAAGAACCACGTTAGGCAAACGTGGGCCCCACGAAAAATGTTATCTGGGTTTAGTCCAGGGTTCTCAAACTGAGGTCAGGTCATGTGAGTATTTTTCATCCACTGCAATCAGCAATTTAAGAAATTATGGAATATTTTTATTCATCTATCTATTATTTGTACGAGAAAAAGGGTCACATTCCTTCAAGTCTTTCTGGTCTTTCTCCTGGAGTACGAGACTAAATGAAAGCAATTCCAGGCAGAAGTTGAAATTCGATTCCTTTTTTCAAGTGGTGTACATTTCCGTCGGCGATTTCCTGCGACTCGACTGAAGATGACAAATGAATCGTGTGCCCCTGTTGGCTGTGACTTGAATGCTCCATGAAGGGAGCGTCCGTGCGCTCGTTCTGTCTATATACATACTTGAAGAAACTCAGTGACGCAGAAGAGCTGGATTCCCCTGGCAGGGCAAAGTTTCTGAAGCCATTTCTCCGTCACGTCTTTGAAAATGGGATTTGTGTCTTTATTGTTACCTTTCAGTCCAGATTCGATCATTTGTGGGCCCAAAAGCATGTGAGCGTCGTTCTCATTAAATTACGCGAATTTTAATCCGTTTTCTACTTGTGACCCGGTCCCTGAAACGTTGCAATCCGTTTCCTATATTTTCAATCATCGCATGAAAAAAGCATCAAGTAAGTTTAATTTCTTAGAAAGGGAGCGCGACTCCGAACCAGGGTCGCTAGGGGAGGCGCTACACCGAGCGAGGGTCACTAGGGGGGGGGGGGGGGGGGGGGGGGGGAAAAAATCCGTGGAGCTTTCCGCCCGACTATATTTCCTCCACTTTCGGGAGACGTTCGACGAAGGCGAATTCAAAGAAGAAAATGCAGAGGGAGACCGAGCGAAGGACGATGTCTCTCGATTCTTCTCCCCTCCGTCAGTTACCGCAACTATTTTAAAACTTAAATTGCTATTTGAAAGTTAGTTTGTGCCCGAAGATGGTGGTGGAGACACTGGATTTGCCTCTACACTGTTTCCGGATTGAATTCTTGTCCCCTGTGTAGTGGAGAGCGGAGAAAGCGCTATTTCCAGCGGGTCTGCTTCATCGTACAACCCAAAAAGCGAAAGAAAAGGTTAAAAGGTGGAAGCGCTCCTCAAGGGAATGAGATGGGAGGGTGAGGGCACTAATTCAATCCGAAAACAGTGTAAGTTCAGGAGATAGGCAGCGGATGATGAAGACGACCCAGCCCAAGTGAAAAGGTCTTTAATCCCTTGGAGGTGTAATTACTCAGCCTTCCAAGTGAGTTCTGCAACTTGTATTCCTAGAACAGAGGCGATAAGAACAACTAATCCTGTTTCCCCCCACCCCACCCAACATCCCCTAAATGAAGTTCTAAGTTCACGGGGTGGATAGATTCGTTTATTTCTGATGTAAGCATGAAAGACACGAATCGGGTGCAGCCGACACGGACCGCTTGGTAACTATTCAATGACAGTAGGGATAGTTGGGGCAGGCGTGGGGGTCCACTCCGGCTGGGTATCTGAGCGAGTGAGCAGAAGCTTAGGCATCGTATCCCAGGGCGTAGCTGGCGTGCACGGGGTAGTGCAGGGCCTTACCCAACCTCTGCGGACTGTGCGTGTTGCAGTACGGATAGTTCGGGCAGGCTGAAAAGGCAAAACGTGCGAGAGTCAAGAAAATTACTTTTAAAAATGTCTGAGGAGATTCTGCGAATTCGCCGAGCACAAAACTCGATTCGTACTCGCTTTGACTGCTACAAAATGCTCATTTCCTTGCATATCGGAGAGGAAGTTCTCATTTTCGTTTTATTTTATCTATGGTACGTTGTAATATCGGTGATAACGATATATCACGACGCCATGTCATTCGTTCTTTATATTTCAGGAATTCCCACACAACTAACCAGTTGCAATATATTTTAATCTGAACAAAGTGCTTCTCTAACCCAGCTGTTCCCAAACTTCTTTGAATCGCGACCCACTTGCTGACGTTCAGAAAATTTCGTGACCCACCGGAATCCAGAAGGAGGTATTTTCAAGTAATCGACCTTTTCTGCTGGGCATATTTTATGCTGAGTGGATGAGGATATAGGGATTTTTTTTCATATTGGGAAAATATACGCGACCCACCTTGATACCTCTCGCGACCCAGTTTGGGAATCGCTGCTCTAGCCCGTGTAGGCAGTTTTTATTTCTATTTTTTTTTTATTTTACAGCCAGAAAGTTCAAAATTAGATCAGAAATTACGATACTCGACTGAAAACGGAAGGAGAACGTGGCTCACCAGCGGGATTCACTACAGCCGGGTACCGGGTAGAGATACGATCGAGGTCGAGACTGCGGGCGAAATCTGGTAGGCCATAAGTGAGTTGGGGATGGCCGTAAGTAATTTCAGGAGAGTATCTATTTCGGAGGAGTCCAGAGGTCGGGTCCACGCCCGGGTCGCAGAAGGGATAGTTGGGGCAGGCGGCCGGGTTCACACCGGGGGGGTAGCGGGCTGCCTGGGGTCTTGCCATCCCCACCACGGCGAGGCTCACCAGGATCAGAATCTTCGCTGCCTGTTGGAGGAACGAGGAGGGTGAGGCATTCGCTTTCTGGTTGGGGAGAGAGGGACGTACGTATGTGAGGTCCGAGAGTCGGCCTTCGGCGTCCGCGGACGCGTGGGACGAGGGTTCGGAAACTTTCCGTATCGTTCGCTTGGAATGTATCGTTTCTACGCGTTGGGAATTTTTCTCGGCGTTCGATTCTCGAGGTTCGATGGAACGTACTGGAGAACCAATATACCATCGCCGTGCTCGAATGGAAGAAAGTCTCTGGGAACTCGAAGTCGCGAACGTCCCGTGCATCTACTTATTTCATCTATCGCTAGGAACTAAGATTTTGGGGTTTTCAATCGTTTCCGACAGGTCGGCAGGCCTTGCCAGATGGATTTGCCGCTTACCGAGAGATTCGATCTCGCGTCGTTCTTGAAGATATTTCGTCGAGAAACGACCGTTCTCGGGAAGAAATGCCGGTCGAGAGGGAAATTTTCATCGCATGACACTCGAGACGCGAAGATCGGATTCAGAGAAATCGCTTTCTGAGGAGACTCACCATCGTGACGAAAGTCGTAAAAAGACCGTGCTCAGTCGTAGGAGAACTGCCACTTCGTCTTTCCCGGACTGGATACGATTAATGCAGGCACCACAACCTCTTTAAATACCGGTTAAATACCTGGGGTCGATAACTCCGGTGAAGGGTAAGGTCAAGACTTGTAGTCGTTGCGCATTCGTACGCACCCACACACACCTTTACATCCGCACCCACATTCACACCCATCTCCACACACTCACGGGATGTTTCCCCCCTTCCCCCCTATTGAGAGGCTGTTGAAACAATTATTTTTTTTGTCGGGTCTAAATAAACGAGAAAAATCCTCTCCGGTCTTGGAAAATAAGAGAATTGAGTCTGTTTCAACAGAAATGGAGGGGAGGAATCTCGAGTGCATTCAAGAGCATTTAATGCTGGAGCATAAGGATTTCGGTACCATCGAAAATGAAAAAAAAGATATGTTCCTTGAGATGAGGGAATGGGGGCGAAAGGGCATTCAACCCTTGCCTCTCGCCACACAAAAGAGATCTTTCTGGAATGGGTCTCATGCGAACCAGTTCTTGTCGTATGCAGAAAACCAACGGGATTTCAGAGATCCGAACCGGTTTAAATTGGAAAAAAGCCACCCGGAAAATTTCCACCCGGAAAAAAGGTCCCCAGAATTGACAAAAGCGGAAAAAAGCCACCCGAGATGAAAATGTAAAAAAGTTAGAGATCGTAGTACTACGATCTAGTACGATCAAACCATTGCCAATTTTTGTGAGTGCAGTGTGGATGGAGAAGACTAATAAGTCTGACTTGAAACTCATATTTCACCGTTATGGAAAGTCTGTGATGCGGAATGCATTTAATATTTATTCTCGCAATGAATGCAATATCTATCCAGATATTGAAAAAGTAGTTGCATGCCTTCATTGAAATAAAGAAAATTCTGGATTCTGGGAATACGACCAATCCTGCAACCAAACAACCACAATTCGATTGTGGTGATAATCGAGTCTCGTTGCCAAAAGGACCAAGGTCATTCTTCGCAATTTCTCCTGTCTGGGATGAGGTGGAAGCCCCGTTCTAAGGAAAATCTGCTCCCAACCGAGGCACGTCAGGCTTTAAACGCCTGACGTACCTTTCCCTTGAAGAAAAACGGAACAACTTGAAAACTACTCACGGACTCATGACTCTTTCACGGGTGCATTTCGAATCAAACAGTCTACAGATCGCGATGGACTCGAAGATCCATCTTCGAGTCGATCATGGCTTCATACAACAAGGAGCCATACAAGACAATTACTACTTTCCTAACCTGCACTATGCTATACAGCTATGAACCTGTAGAAGCAGAGCTGCCGGACGAAATGAAATCTTACATTAATGACAAAAGCGGAGAAATGGAGATCGAAGATCCACTATTATGATAGAGCGATAATGGAAGGAGGCATCCGTCGCTTGCCACCCTAGCTCGCAAATACCCACGAATTTCTGGAATTTTCACGAGTTTCCTCCCATGTGAGCGACTCTTCTCAAGATATGGATTTCTAGCAAGCGTATATCGTGCTTGCTTTGCGACGGAGATCGTCGATATGTTCTCTCTCCTAGCTTTGAACAGCGAACTACTATGATGTCATGCTTTCAAGATCATGTCAAAATCATTACCAATATAGAGCGGTTTTGTCCTGAAATAAATGCGCCATTTATGCTAACCCCCTCATTGAACCATGGCAATATCGCGATATCGGGTGATATATGGGTCGGGGATATCGATACTTTAAAACTCCATATCGCCCAGCCCTAATTTATGTATATTTATACGTATCAGATGATTAAGAACATTCACTTTGCAACGTTGAGACACATTCATGCCAGGATGTGGCTGATAATTATCCATGTTGTAATTATTTAATGGATGAACTGCCTCCAATTTTTCTAGCAATATATAACTGATTTTTTTGTTTCCATTCGTTGAGAATAAAGTGATTGAAGATGCAAAGCATCGCTCGATTGGAAGCTCTTCTTTAAATCAATTTTTTAATTCATATTTTCCTACTTTCATTATAAAGGGAAGAAGGACTCTGTTCAGCTATGAACATGAACTCATCTCAATGCAATGCTTCAACAGTCTTCGGGGGGGGGGGAGGCAATGGGCGGTTCAGGGGGGTGGATTGAAGAGAGAGATAAAAGCTCTCTCTTAAAGAAAATGAAATAAAAACTTACAAGACCCACCCAAACAGCATGTTTATGTTAATTTTACGTAAAATGAATGTAACTTTTTTGTCCATTTTATATCATTTTTACGCAAACCATGGTCAAGGAAATGTCAACCTGTTTGCAGAAATGTCAGCAATCGCAAGAAATTTACATTGTTTGCAAAAAATTGATATCTTGTTTACATGAACATGCTGCTTGGGCAAGAGCAATTGTTATTTGAGAGCAAATTCCAAGAAGTGTTCAGAGAGTGCAATCATCTCATCCTGCATCACGGCCACAATCAAAAGATTTCCTCCGGCGGTTGGCCATGCTATTCATATTTTAGGATTTTACTGAAGTCGGACTTGTTTTATTTTTTCATAAAATTTTAGTGAAGTTGATCAAATTACATGACATCAATATCACTAAATATCGCAAAAATAAAATGCGTCTGACGCGGACATAACGGTATGGCGCTTTTCTGCCTTTGTCAATTCTGGGGGTCTTATTGCCAAATGGCTTTTCTGCAGATCCACGAAACAAAAATGTGAGTTATAACCATATCTTAACGATCGTAATGCATTGCGCATGATAGCACGTGGCAACAATTAACTGACATACAAGGAACACTTTTTTTTTAAGCGGCTGATACAGGGTGATGCATAAGTCCTGTCTCATAAGAATCTCCCACTGAATACAATGTTTAAACTGGTTGCCTTGGACTGTTTCGCAAACATGGATACATACGGTGGGGCATTCTCTCACGCATACATGTGAGAGTCTCTCTTTTGATTGCCGCACGAAGCTGTGAAACAGTCCAAGGCAACCAGCTGGAACATTTGATTCAGCGATAGATACTCCTATGAGACGGGACCTTTGCCCCACCCTGAATGTAGTCGGCTGGCTTCTCTGGGTGACTTTTTCGAATATTCATCTCAGCTGACTTTTTTTCCGGGTGACCTTTCCAACACCTCTCACCTCTCCCTCCAAAACTTATGAAATTCCTGCAATTCGCGCTGAGCTTGCAAGAACACACAGCATCATTGAATGATCTCAGACAGGCTCTAATTCGTTACTGTGAAGGTACCCCCAGGCGGTAGGAGATGCAAGGGCGAGGACACCGATGCAAGGATAAGGCCTACCGTTGCAAGGGCAAGGGACGCCAACTACACGTAATCATACGGGACCCTCTCGCTGTGTGGGATGGACCCGCGCATATCAGGCTCCAACTTCCTCTCGTCCCATTTTGCGAAATTATTACTCCATGAACCCTGTGGAAAAAAGGTTCCACTTTGCGATGGGGTGGGGACGAATTCCCCACGTCCACTCTCCCCAAGCAGTCCCGATCAAACCCTACGAATCGATAGACGAATCGAACGACGAATCGTTGAACCCACGGACGAAACGGGATGCGCGGAAAGACCCTCGGAGCTCCGTTCGAAGGACGCACCCGATTCAGGGATTCTCGGCCCCTTGGCCTTGCCAATTTCTTCCCCTTTTCCGACTGCCCCGGGATAATGCATTTAAAAAGACCCTTTTGGGGCTGCAAAGGAAATAAAGCATATTTTTGTCGGATCGGGGGCCAAGGCCGACTTTCACTTTGATCCTCCCGTCGCAAACAAGGAGACTGCGAAAAACAGCTTCTATCCCTTCTCTCGACACGATCTGCATTCATGCGAATAAAACAATTAAACCTTTGAAAAAGGAGAGTATCCTTGTTCGGTTTCTTTCTCCTTAAAAATGCTGGATTTTTTTTAGTCTCAAGCGATATCGTGCACACTTTAGTCCGTCAGTTACCCCAACATTATTCCTTACCTGCTATTTGAAAGTTAGTTTGTGCCCGAGGAGGGAGCGGTGACACTGTATTTGCCTCTACACTGTTTTCGGATTGAATTCATGTCCCTTCTGGGTAGCGGATAACGGAGAAAGCGCTATTTCTAGTGGATCTGCTTCATGATACAACCCAAAAGGCCAAAAAATGACTTAAAAAGTGGAAGCACTCCTATGGGGAATAAGATGGGAGAGTGGGGGAGAGAGACAGCAGAGGGTGAAGAGGACCCAGTCCAAGTGAAAAGATCCCGTCCTTTCTCACTTTAATCCCTTGGAGGTGTAATTACTCAGCCTTCCAGCTGAGCTCTGCAACTAATTCCTTGTATTCTTAGAACAAAGGCGATAAGGACCACTAATCCTTTTGTTTTTCCACCCGACTTCCCCAACATGAAGTTCAAAGTTCATGGGATGGGTAGATTCGTTTATTTCTGATGTTGACATGAAAGACACGAATCGGGTGCAGCCGACACGGACCGCTTGGTAACTACTCAATGACAGTAGGGATAGTTGGGGCAGGCGTGGGGGTCCACTCCGGCTGGGTATCTGAGCGAGTGAGCAGGGGCGTAGGCATTGTGACCCAGAGCGTAGGCATCGTAGCCCAGGGCGTAAGCACCGTGCACGGGGTAGTGCAGGGCCTTACCCTTCACCAGCGGATTGTGAGTGTCGCAGTACGGATAGTTCGGGCAGGCTGAAAAAGCAAAAATGTGCGCGAATCAGAAAAAAGAAACTTTTAAATGTCTAAAGGGGTTCTGCGAATTCGCAGAAACTCATCTCGTACTCGCTTTGACTCTGCTACAAAATACTCATTTCCTTGCATATATGTTGCGAATGGAATGGAATGTCATTTTATTTTTGGTACGTGGTAATACCGATGATAACGATGAATCATGACTCCATTTCCTTCGTTTTTAATATTTCAGGAATTCCCACTCTACTAACCAGTTGCAATATATTTCAATCCGAGCAAAGTGGTACTATAGTCCGTGTAGGCTCTTTCTTCTTTTCTTTTTAATACAGCAAGAAATATCAAAATTAGATAAGAAATCACGATACTCGACTGAAAACGGAAGAAAAACATGACTCACCGGCGGGGTTCACGCCAGCTGGGTACTGGTTAGAGTGGAGAATGGGGGCGAAATGGCGATAAGCGGGAGCGGCATGGACGTAAGCAGCATGAGGAGCGTATCCGGTTCGGAGAAATCCAGAGGTCGGGTCCACGAGCGGGTCGCAGTAAGGATAGTTGGGGCAGGCGGCCGGGTTCACACCGGCGGGGTAGCGGGCTGCCGGGGGGCTTGCCATCCCCACCACGGCGAGGCTCACCAGGATCAGAATCTTCGCTGCCTGTTGGAGGAACGAGGAGGGTGAGGCATTCGCTTTCTGGTTGGGGGGAGAGGGACGTACGTTTCTGAGGTCTGAGAGTCGGCCTTCGACGTCCGTGGGAAGAGGGTTCGGAAACTTTCCGTATCGTTCGCTTGGAATGTATCGTTTCTACGCGTTGGGAATTTTTCTCGGCGTTCGATTCTCGAGGTTCGATGGAACGTACTGGAGGACCAAGGTACCATCGCCGTACTCGAATGGAATTAAGACACGGGGAACGCGAAGTCGCGAACGTCCCGCGCATCTACTTATTTAATCTATCGCTAGGAACTAAGCTTTTGGGATTTTCACTTGCTTCCGACGGCTCGACAGGCTCTGCCAGATGGATTTGCCGCTTACCGAGAGAACGGATCTCTCGTCGTTCTTGAATATTTCGACGAGAAATGACCGTTCCCGGGAAGAAATGCCAGTCGAGAGGGAAATTTTCATCGCAAACACTCGAGACGCGAAGATCGGATTCAGAGAAATCGCTTTCTGGGGAGACTCACCATCGTGACGAAAGTCGTAAAAAGACCGTGCTCAGTCGTAGGAGAACTGCCACTTCGTCTTTCCAGGACTCGATGCGATGAATGCAGGCACCGCAACCGGGTTATATACTCTCGGTCCTTAAAGGACCAAGGCCGATCACCCCGGGGAAGGGCAAGGTCCAGTCTCTCTATCTCGAGTGGCCCTCGACGCTTCCCCTCTCCACGTTCTCTCGGGACGTGATTCATCCCGAGGATTTCGATGGACAGATGGGACGGCCACACCCTGATTTTTTTTTGGCGAAGGCTCTTTCTCGATCCCGAGGGACACCCTGTCGTCTCGCGGCTTTAAAGTACGTGCGAAATCTTCGAGACTCCTGGAAAGCGCAGATTGGTGCCCAAAGGGTCTCTATATTTCGCGTGAACGAGAAAAAAAAAAGCTTTGAAATAGACTTGGGTATTCGTGGATCTCTAACGTATTAGGTATTTCTCGGTTTCGAGATTTCATTTCGCCCCCCCCCCCCCCCCCCCCCCCCCC